GGCCAAGAGCCGGGCGACTGCGTGGGTGGATTTGATCACTGTGGGCCCCGTGGATCAGCTGATAGCTCTCCACCCTGACACCGAGCTTCAATGGCTCGCATGGAAGAAAAAGCCATTAAGTGTGCCGGGTATGGAAAGTGAAGTATTCGGTGTGTGTGTAATGTGTTTCAGGTGAGTTTGTACAGCGCAGTGTTTTTTTTTATAAGTAAAGCATGATGTCACTTATAATCACTGGAAAGTGCTGGTGAGCAAAGGGAAAAAGTGTCAGCGTGACCTTTAATGATCATTACTCCACGACTGTGAGTCAGGGAGACCGAGTGTGTGTGTGTGTGTGTGTGAGTGTCCACATCACACCCTGAGTTGTGTTGAAGCATTTAAGAGACTCCCGTCAGGTCAAAGCAATTTAAAAATGTTAATATTCAACTTAACACAGTTTATGGTTTTAAAAGAGTTGTTTTCAAGCTCATTTCTGAAATTGCGAAGTAAAGGCCTGAATAAACGTCTGGTTTTCAGTTGACCAGTGCAAAATATTTGAGAGTTCCTATATCAGCAATTAGTTTTGCTCTAAGACTTTCAGCGCTTGGGTCAGTTTGCACTTTGCTAAGTGGTTTCAACCCAATCAATGCCGTTGGTGCAAGATGGCAGTTTTCGTAGCCAGGATATTTTAGAACTGGAGATGTCTCCATCCATCTTTATTTACAGTCTATGTTTTCAACTCACCGTACTTCACCATCATTTGATTCTTCTTCTGTTGTTTTTGCATGATTTTAAACACAAAAAACTATTACCCTAATTTTGAAGTATTTTGACACTGATGTGAGCTGAAGAGGAGATACTGTGACGGTGGTTAGAGGGGACGTGTTGTCAGAGCTCGACCAGATGATGTGTCTGTTGCCATGGTCTTCAGAAGTATAAATAACTTTGGAAAACGAGCTGGCATCGACGCCCCATCCCCAGGACACCCGCCCCTCTTCATGTGAAGGTTCAGCCCGAGTTCACTTTCTGCTCTGCCCCTGTCGCGCTTTAATGAGTTGGAAAACACCCGCCTCACTTGATTCTATTATCGAGCCATCTCTCTGTGCACGTCAGTTAAATTAGCTGCTAGCTCGACTTTTTGGTCCCATGCACACACTGGTTCATCTAAATGAGCAGAGGAGTCAGGGAAAAGGTCAAATCACAATGGAGGTCAGGAGAGGGGGAGAAAACATCCTGGAGGAGACGAGTCTCGAGCAACACGTTTGCTAACACGCATATTAGTGAGGCGGGTGTGTGCCCCGTCCTGACTGCTGCTGCAGGTTCTCTCAATAACAGCAGGTCAACAGGTTCCTGCTCCTCTTAGTCTTCACTGGGGTTTAAATAATCCAATGCAGCCGTCCACGTCTGAGCCAATATTTTACTTTGTGGTTATTATCCGTCGATACCAAAGGCACATAAGCACTAATTTGGTTTGGATGAACAGGGTTCATGTTAAGTGTCTCTTGCCCTTGTAAAGCACTTTGTATTTTGGAAAGTACTCTATAAATAAAGTTATTATTATCATTAGTGTGAGGTGGATTTAATTTCACTCCAGTACTTAAAGAGAATAGCTGATGAAAGAGAAACTTGTGAAAGTTTTCTAAATTATTATAGTCTCTCCGCTGTCACATAACAAAATGACTTTAAGCTGCTTTGGGTCAAACGGTTCTCCCACAGATCACAGATAACGTAATCTTCTCAGCTGCAGCTTTTTTGTTTCATCAGCCACCAGAGCTGAAAACATATTAATTACAGAGAAGGTGCCGTCGTCATAACCAGAGTCATTACGTAACCCGAGTCGACAGCTGTTTGGATTAAAATGCACATCTGCTCACTAAGACGTGTTGATGAAACATGTTTACAGGCTGAGAGATAAATCTGCATTAGCATACTGCAGGTTGAAGTGGCCAAGGTCACGACAGTGGATAATTTATCTCTTAATCTGCGTCAATAACGTTTTACATAAAGCAACAGGACTAATAACCACATATGTTTCCTGCCTCTTTCGACTTCTTTTTCACCTGGTGAATCTTTCACTTTCTCAATGTTCTCTCTCTCTTCAGTCTCAAGTCCTCATTACTGCGACTTAGGGCAGATTGAAATCCTAAATGAAGTCCTAAATCTACAGGTGGCGTCTTAATAAAGGCTGGAGGTTGTATGTTAGCGTTAAATTACTTCGGCCTAATGGCTTGTAGGTGAGCTGCCTCTTTGTTACAGCAAATGTGATTTGGAGTCGAGACTAAGGAGTGAAGTCAATTTTCTCTCTAACAATGAGCAATTTGTGTTAACTGCAGTGTTTCTTTAAAATCTCCTCAGGTAACCATGTCTCTCTTGATTGGTTGTTTTATTTTCGTCCACTATCAGCGCTCTGTTGTCTGCCGGCCCACCTTGCGGCTGCCGGGGAGATTTGTGACCGAGCTGCGGAGCGTCTACAGAAGGTTCAGACACAAGAGCAGATATCTGCTGAGAAATGGACAGGAAGTGAGAGAGATTGGAGGCCCCTCTCCGAGCTGTGATGCTTCCACACCAGCTCCTCTCCCGCCTTATCGAGCTGCCTCCTCTGATTGAAGCGACAGCCCCACAGTCTCTGGCTGAAATAGATTGTGTTGCTGTTTCTTGTTTGCCCTTCACCTTCCCTCTCTCCTCCTCTCCACCTCTGTTGTTCGATTCCCCGACTCGGGCCCCTGCTGCTTTTTATTTGTTATGGTTTTTTTCTCATTTAAGCCTGAGTGGCTCATAATTGCAGGCACAGAGTCTGGCTGTGAGATTGGACGCCTCTTTCACCCACTGAGGATTTATGGACTTCTGACTTGGTGCCTGCACGACTAAGCAGCAAGGAGAAGAAAGCCCTGCGTCATGCCGCCTTTTTCTCCCTGAGTGACGTCCAAATAAACCGAATCCTCTTCCTAAATGTGTCGGAAAATGTTCTGTGGGAGGGGAAAGACCCTAATACTGTTTCTCGCTCCGCAGCTCGTGTCTTTACGTGATTATTTCAGGGTCAAAAAGACATTTTCTTGCATTCCAGTCCTGGCTAAACAGCTCTTTGACTTGTAATGTTAATCAGTAGAGTGCGAAGTGTCACATTAAAAATGTAAGAAATAATGAGGCTGCGGCCTATAAAGATCAAGGTGTAATTAAATATTCAGGAACTGGCTGGAGTTTTATAGGTCATGTCATTTACTGGGGCAGCTGGATGGTCTCAGCTCTTACTGCACCAGCTCAGCTCTGATGCTGTGGACAATACGTGAAGTAGAAACTTTCACTTCCAGAGGGAAACTTTACTCAAAATCACTTTGACATTTGTCACTTTGCAAATTACAAACAGCAAGTTTAACAATATAACCTTTAGAGCGGAAAGGACGAGGCGATTAATCATTTTTGATAATAATACACGTGATAAGTACGATGATTTCAGCTTCTGGAGTAGGAGAGTATACTTTCACACGCATGGATTGTCACAGAGTAACAGAATGCACTGCATGTCACAACTGCAGCTGAAACTATAAGGCCTGCGTGGACGGTAACAACATTATGGACGATAGCGCGAGTGAGCAAATAGTGCTGCACACATCTATGGAGCAAAACAAGTTAAATATCTCTTATTCTGTTACGAGGAGTGTTTTTGGTTCATTGTTAAACTGTGGACAGTATAAATATGGCGGCTGCCTCGGTCTAGATCCTTTAGAAAGACGTCATTGAGCGTGAAGGGCGTTTGATTGGTTTGAGGTGTAATGAAGGAACAAAATATTCCTGTACAATCTCTCACGTCTGATCAAAGTTTGTAGTAACCACTCGTCTGTGTGTGTCTTATCTGGTGCACATTTTAATCGCTTTGCTCTTTTTTTTGTGGATTATAATTTAGCTGAGTTTTAATTTTAGTATGAATATGATTTAATATATTACATTAGATTACGGATTATAAATCCAGGGAATATGTAAAATCTTTCCAGGCTGACTGATGAAGTCCTGATGAGTCAGAATCCCGTGGGGCCGACGCTGAAGTTCACATCATGACTTTGGTGAATTATACTTTCAAAGTCTGAGTTCGCTGAGCGGGTAAAAGCCTTTTTGAGGTGTTGTGTAAAATGGGAGTTATAAATGTAAATGAAGGGTCTCGGTGAGGGACAGAAACTTTACCTGATTTGTGCTTCTGAAATGTTTGAGTGTGTTGTGAAGCATTGAGGGAATATTTACGTGTGCTGACGAGCTAAATAAAAGATGAGGAGAGTTCACCTGGGAGCAGCGTTGTTTAGACTCAGATTGATTTGAGGAGTTAATTAGAGTCGGTGCAGTACTTTTTCTTAAGTCATTAAATCTTGCACGTCGCTGGCTGTTGTACTGAGATGTATGGTTGAACATGAGGGGATAATAACGTAATAATACTCTTCAAGCTCGACCTAAACAAAGTCTGCCTGTGCGCGTACGCTGCAGCCTTCTGTCACATGATGATTACACGAGGCTTTAATTCTGAGAAGCTGCACAGGAAATCATGCATCAGGTCATGTCAAGCTGAAACTAATGAGGTGTACGGTCAAAAAAATAAATAAATCAATTATCAGCGCCGGCCGGCCTGATCTAAGAGATTGGTTTAACTACAGAGTTAAGTGTTAGTGAGCTAATGAAAGAGATATTTCACCCTGGAAGAACATTTACACATATTAACATGCAAACCACCACAGTGCACGAGTGGTCGGCATCAAACTGAAGCAGATTTTATCGACTTTTCGCCAGGAACAGCAAATACAATAAGAAAAATAGAGTTGAATGTATCTGCTGCCACTCCTCCATTAGCTGTGAGAACCGATCGCTATGGAAACACAGCTGGGATGATCGATGTGCATGCTGAAAATGTTTTTACCAGAGTGAAACATCTTTTTTTGGGGGTCTCGTGTTAGTGGTCAGTTCGGTTAGACGGCGTTCGGGGCCCAGCAGTGCAAACCTCCGCAGGTCAGAGTTCACTGAGGACACACATCCCTCCCCCTTACCCTCCATCTCCACACTGATTGGCTCCGAGTCAGGTGACCCTTGTTCCCCCACTGGGGGAGGGCCATCAGGACCTGTACCTCTTTCAGGGTCACCTGCCTCCTTTGGGAATGCCGCCCCATGATAGGTTGTGCTGGCGCTTGTGGGTGTGGTCTTCCCTGCGGTTGTGACGAAGGGGGGAAGGAAGAGGAGGAGGAAGGAGGAAGGAGGGAGGGAGGGGGGGCGACAGAGTGAGCGATTAGTGAAATGTGAATCAGCCGAGACAATCAACTGCACAACAATGAGGGTGAGTCCTGAGTGGAGAGAAAACCGTCACCTGTTAACACAAAGGGTGATGAGAGCGAGCGACACGATGAGACACAGAGCAGACGTTCAATCGTACGTCAGCAGCTGCTTCGTACCCGCGGACATTCTCAGAGAAGCGGTGGTTTCAGGATTCTAACATCCTCGATCCCTAGAATATTTCTCGCTGTGCAGACATTATTTATTCATGATATATTTCAGAACTTCAGAAACAACGTAATATCCAGAGGAGGAGAAATCAACTCTTTGCTCTTAAGACCAGAACAGTTTTTTGGATCTACACAACGGGCCCTAAAGGTTTAAATGACGATTTTACACATCGGCCTGAATGAACATCGATGGTGACTCTCCCTATTCTAACAGATATCTGAATACACCACTGACGTGTCGTTCTTGTATATATTTTTCTGACATCTATTATGATGTGTATATATTCTGTATTGCTGAATCTTTTGATTAAAATAAATGGGTTGTGGGTATTCTAGATGTTTCTCCATTAGAAGTCAGACGATGAGTTTTCTGCTAGAAACGTCACTCGTACGTAAATCCTTTAAAGAGGCTTTATGTTTGTGGATTTGTCTCGACAGACCGATTTATTTAAAATTATGTCTCACACCGCATATATGAATTATTAGAATTTTTACAAATTTCCACAAGTGGTTTGTCGACATCTGTAAATGTGAAACTCCTGCTTAAGTACATTCTATTTCAACACCCTCATCATAAACAGTGTCGATGGCTTTTAGTCAGAATCTACAGTTTTGCAAGTGAAGCTCCTCCACACTTCTTTTCCATTTTTAAACAGCCCTGGACTCGACCACCATTAAAACTCATCTGTGTCCTCTCCGCTAAGTGTTTTCACAGATTGGTTGAAACAGACACTGGTGATGTCTTTCAGCTCGTTTCCACTACCTCACCCAGGCTGAGTGCTTTCACAGATCCCTCCGCCGCGCGGAGGCCGAGCAGCAAACATTACAACGGCCAAGAAACCCGCTGCCAGAGGCCTCGTATCATCAAACATATTTGTCTTGATGACACACTCCTCATCTTGATTGCTTTATTAGCCCTCTGTTGTCCTTGAGGTCCGGGGTGCAGCATGCTGCCATTGGCTCGGGCCCCTGCGCTAATAAGCCAGCCATAGCGCTAGCACTCTGCAGCCCTCACACCCAGTGTGGAGGAAAAGGGCTCGTTCTCTCTCTCACTGCGAGCCAGTAGACAACGCTCACTCAGTGAATGAGTGGCCCCATCAGTTCGCCATCTGCGCTGGGCAAATTAAAAATGAACACCAGGGGGTGTTTGGCCCCGGAGCCTCAGACAACAGCTCCAGGACCACATCATTACTTCAGCTCTTATTCTGCTCGTTGTATCATATAGTTTGTCCTCTTCTACTGTTGATACGGGACAAAAACATGTCCAACAGAGGAACTTTTGATTCTCTGTACAAGCAAGCGTTTGAGTCGAGCCCTTCTCTCTGCTGGCGGCAATTGTTTGGGTGAAGAGGAAGAGAGAAAACGTGCCAGCGTTTGTTGAGCTTTCGAACAAGCAAGCGAAGCACAGCTTTGTTGGGCATATGGAGGTTTGTTACTGTCGAGGAAAGCTGATAATTGATCTTCAGTGCAGAGACTTGAAAGCAGTTTTGTGTGAATCAGCCAGAAAAAAAAAAAATATATATAACCAACAACAAAAAACAAACAAACAACAGAGGCAGAATCTGACTGTGTGTTTAAAAACTTCAAATAGTGCAGTGAAGCATCCGGGGGTCCAGAGCCTGATGGGATTAAACGGCAGGGTTGCTCATCAAGTCTCGCTACCAACAGGGTGGTGATTCTCCTCGAGCAGGGCGGCTTCACACAGCACTGAGGCACTGTGGGAACGTGGGACTGTCGGGGTCTGATCCGAAGCCTCTGGCGGACAAAGTGGCCTCTGTTCTGAGAGAGTCGCTGAAATAGATTGTGCAGAGCCGTAATGGTGGACATCTTCCAGCGAGACGGGTCTCTGTGCTGACACTAATCACTGCATGGGATCAACCGCCGCCGTTAGCTCCCCTGTGTCACAATTTGCTCAGTGCCAAAGAGACGCCACTTTAAGCAAGTCTTAAAAACTCCGAGGAAAGTTGAGGCGGAGCTCTTAGTCGCGCGGATGCAGAGCAAATGAGGCCTGGCCGAACACTATCTGACTGAGAACGACCGGCTTTGAATGTTGCAGCGTTAGAAACCAACAGCAACTCGTCAATCTTATCCGAGGCCCAGCCAGCTTGGCGGCATTTCTATTCCTATTCCAGCCGTGCCAGGGGCAGAGCGGTGTGGCCGGCGGAGGAGTAATGGGACGTGACAGGGATGATGATCCTTCTTGATACAGGGCATTAAGCAGCCTCGCCGACAGAGCTCCTAGTCCATCAATGGAGTGATGCTTCAGACAATGGCTTCAATGTTTGAGCTGTCGGCCGAGAGGAGAGAGAGGTGACCGACCAAAAATTCTGTAACCTCCAGAGTTAAAAGTAAAGAGAAGAGACGTTTACTTTGAGCGAATGTAAATGAATAAATCTGAGGCTTCTCTCCACATGCATGACCCTGACCCTTCTGCAAGTTATAAAGTTTAAAACCACGATGATTTAGATTCAAGACCAACAACTCTGAAGATATGAAGATACATCAGAGTCCCAGAATAAACCTGATCTTCAACTCATGATGGAAGATAAGCTGAAGTGAGGTGTAAAGTTATCAGTTCTGTTTGTAGTTTTATCACAGTGTGTTAACATCTGTATCACTGAGAAGGCAGTACAATACACAGAAACATGAAATACATAAAAAAAACAAATTTAAAGTGCGATAGAAGTAGTGTTCAATGTTGTGATAAACACTGACACAATTATGATTTACCAAAACGTATTCAAGACCTAGTACATGATATTTGAATGCATTCAAGACTTTTTGAATTTGGACCCTGCAGATAAAAGAACACTGAGAGAGCAGCTTTGTTATTCAGGGATAATTCTTATTTTTACAGTTTTTATTTTATGTTTTACTGAGAAAAAGTATTCCACTTTTTAACAAGAATAAAAACTAGCACCTTATTTGGGAAAACAAATCTGGACTGGACTTCCTAACGAATCAAGCTACCTGGATTTCTTGTCGCATTTTTTGATTTAGTGAGGAATTGTTAACATAACATGTAGAAACTATTCACAAAACTATGTAAGTGAGATCCAGGCTCCAGAAAGTCAAAATAAAACAAATGCTAATTCCTAATTTTCTATTAATCACGACTGTTGACGGAGAGAACTCAGCTGAATCTTTAACCCGTCAGTGCTCAGTTGAGGTAGTGAGGTGCAAAGATAGAAAGACGTGTCCACTGACCATACGCTGAATCTAGTGCAGGGTTTTGCTTGCGTGTGGTCGCCAGGACATCTGCAAAAACAAAAACAACACATCGTCAGTGTGAGTGAGGTTATTGTTCCTGCTGCTTCTAATGAATCTGTCCTGTTTGCAGTTTCATCACAAACGCACACTGAAGAGCTTAATACAAACCCTTTGTCTGACATGAAAACACACGTCTGTGAGCAGATGCTTGATTAACAGAGAAAGTTTCAGAACAATATTCCAGCAGGGACAGTGAACGGGGGCGGTCTAAGTACTCTTCAAGCTTCTTCAACATGAACTGAATCACTGCCCTGGTTGAAATAAATACATTTCAATCATAATTCTCTCCATTCGAATTCGTTACATCCCCAATCACTTGCTCTCGCTCTGCCATCAGGATCCGCTGCCGCTCGACAGCTTGCCTGCTTCTTTCTTTATTGCTTATGTAAATCACTGAGAAATGTTTCCATCTCACCGTGGCAGGTATCAGGGAGCTGATGGTAGCCGTTCTCCACATCCTGTTCAAATCCGCCTCTGCAGGGAAACAGGGACAAAGACAAAGAGACCCATCAATACATTTGCATCAGTTCGTTTCACCGACTGTCCGATCCTGACAAAGCACCTCGGTGGTTTTCCCTAAAATTGAGAACGTCCAGCCTCAGAAGGATCCTCAGCTCTGTGATGTTCAGCAGATTCTTGGCTCTGCACCGCGATGAGAAGCAGTAATTACATTTTGTTTCTCCTCATCTTCCCCAAACCTGCTGGTTCTCCACTTTTCAAACATTTTGTTTGGGTTTGTTTTTAATATATGAAGAAGCAGCAGGAGATTATTTGGGTCAGACTCGTTCACAACCACAGGAAAATGTGGGGAACACACAAACAAGGGGCGGAGCCTGCATGGAGACGTAACGTATAAATACTGCTGCATGTTTTTGTTTGTTTGTTTTTTTTAATCGCCAAAAGCTCTCGGAGCTCGCGGCCTTTCCAAGTCGACGTGGTCTTCGACATGTACGGTTCCTCTTTTTCATCCAGGGATATTTGTTCAACCAGTTTCACATCCGTCACGTTTGAAACGTCATCAACACGCCCACTCTCTTCTCACGTGGGCTCACGCTAACATTTTACTCGGGGGCTGTTCCCTAAAAATGTCTGGAGCAGCTGAGGGGGACTTCAGTGCAGGTCTAAGCATCTTTATTCATTTCCTGCATGTTCTATATCGGATGCCTTGTCTCTTTACACACAGCCCTGGATATTCATATACTCAGAGCTACTGCTGGTGTAATTGGTACCTTCACTTAGTTCAGTATCTCTGCTCTGCAATTAATGTCTCACTGTATGATTGTAGCATGTCAGTAAAAAAAATATTCAGAAGGAAAATACATTGATTTAAAGTGACCGACACAAAACCCTGTGATTAATATCTCTCTCCTCCCTCTGCGGTTCTGTGGAGCAGCAAGAAAAACTTCAAAACCGGAAACATGACGAGATGCAGACGTTATTGTCAAACTTTAGGTATCAAGGATTTTCAGGAGACAAAAGACAAAGATGCACAGTTTCAACAAAAACACTTTTCACTGTCTATTCAAAGCATCTCATGCAAACAAAGAATGACTTCTGTGAACATTTGTAAATTGATTTGTCTGTGTCACAGTTTTTATTGGAACCGAAGCACAACAAAAAGCCAAACAAAAGCTCAATCATGTCAAGTAAATCCTTCATAAATGATTTTTACTTTGCAATTTCTGCCATCTTGAATTCGCTTCTTTGAAATCTGAAGACTCTTTATTCGCCTCTTCACCTCTCGTGCAAACCGACAAGAAACCAAATCTGACAATTATTGATTTTCTGCTACTGCGATGAGAATGTGCATACGATTGATACGTTGTTCATCCCTGTGAGAGACGCACCATCTTTCACCTTCGAGTCAATCACAAATCAAAGGCTCATCCGTTCGGTGGTTGAGTAATGAGATCGAGCGGAAGCCGTTCCAGCCGAGCGGAGCTTCGCATCAACGCCAACAATCCTCCCACACGTTGAAACTAACTGAATAAAAGAGACGTGGGCTCATGTGCCACACAAGTGTAATGATCCGGTGTCCAGGTAGAAACACTCTATAACAAAGCAATTTGTTTCTTATATAATCTAAACACAAGCAACAGCTCATTATATTATGTATTATACTGTATACACACACAGACTCCCTGCATCCATCCATGATTAGTGCACGTCGTGATGTCTCGGCTGGACGGCTGATGAGATGTTTCAGGAGCTTCAGTGTTTTCTTTGGGGAGAGGAACTCTCTTTATTACAGATTTTAATTTTGCGTCTCTTTTAAAGCTGCAACTCTGGCATCAACTGTCACGTTCAGGGACGCGTGTTTATAAAACTATTCCCTCTGTTATTCAATACGAACCAACAGTCTCTTACAGTAACTTCCCGAGGACGGTCACGGTCGGTGTAAGACAGGAGGTGATTATAAAATCCAAAGCTGACGGACTGACACTCTGTTGTTATGCAGAGAATGAAGCAGTCTGGGACAGAACAAAGTAAAAAAAAAACACATCTTAAAAATATCTTGACGACGTAGTTTTACAGTTTGAGAGCAGTTTGTGTTTGACGCCGCACAACAACAGAACCATAAATGGTCTGATCACATCTGCAGCGACTCAGCGAGGCTGTTTTCGTTGGTGTGAGTCACAGTGAAAAGGTTTATTTTTGTACGTTTATATTCGGGTTGTCTTAGGGTGGCGACCAGTTGAACCACAGTGTGATTGTTCTCTCTCTGATTAGTAAAAAACATCCAGTGATTCAGAAGGAAAATGCAACGATTGGAAGCTTTTAATAAATTCTACTCACTAACCCGAATCCACTCGCTATTAATCAGAAATGTTTTTTTACAACCCTACCCAGCGACCAGTACGTACAGTCATTCACATTTTTATTTACATTTTACTTGAAACAGCTTCAATCGCTCCGACTGACATGTTCCCTCGCCTGCAGTTTAATCCTCTCAGTTTGTCAAACCAGCAAAGTGCTGTAAACACAGAAGCGAGCTCGGTGACACCCGCCTGTCGTGAGCTGCTCTAAAAAAAATCAACAACACACGTGAGGAGTCGTTTAGAATAAAATACAATCACAGTGACGTGGGTTTTATGGCAGGATAAGTAATATCAGGTTCGTACATTCGCTGGCAGGGCCGAGCACTTCTGCTTCATTTAAAAGCTCGGAATATATGAATATGTGAACAGTTTTAGTTTAAAAGGTTTTGCTGTCGGACACAAGATGTTTCCCACTTCACTCAAAAGTCCATTCTCACCGTTAAGTGCTCTGGAGGCTTCAAGTTTCCACATCACACCTGTGAAAGTTGCACGGCCACGGAACACGACCGGCTCCGAACTAGTTATGTCACAAAATCGCTTTGTGCGCCCACGAGTAAAACTCAGGTTTGAGGTCAGCGCAGAAACAGTTTCCATATTTGGTGGATGAATATGAAAACAGCCTCCTGGTGTCAAACTCTGCACATAAATCATTTGGCACGGTGAATGTCAAACGTGGCCGGCAGTGGAGCAACAATAAGCAAATCCATTTCTGAATAATGGGAGATTCACACAATGTACTGGAGTGAACCGGAGCTTGTAAACAGTTTTGTTAACCAGTGGTGTGACGGGTCACCTTTACTTCAGAAAAACATGACAGACTTGTCAGCACTCGACACCGTAATTGACCTTCTGGTGTTTATGCATTTGAATAAACATCAGACGAGAATTCATCTCTCATCCATCTGTCCGCTTTTACCCACAAACCCTTTCAGTCCAGGTTCACGTCCTGTCACCGGCTCGGTGACACTCCTCATAGGACACGTTGGGTTTCGAATTTTAAGTCGCTGAGTATTAATTTCTTTCCACCTGGTTTCAGATTTTTTTGCGCCTTGTGATTATTATTTGTGTCCTGACATCGATAATAAAAGAGCTTTGTGCTCAGTGGCACCACATTGATTTCATTTCACAGATCACTGGGAAAACATCTCATGAATGCAGTGACTGTGCAGAGACTTTAAGAACGTACCACAGGGATGAATTCACTGAGGGTGAGAATGTGCACAGATCATTAACACATGCACACCAGAGTCCAGACACCAACTGCACGAGCTACATAATGAATTGTGTGAAAACAGAAATGAAAATGTAAACACAAATAGACTGAAATCTCTAATTACCTTCGCCAAGGAGTTTAAGTTTCCGTCGGGTTTGTTCGTCAGTGAGAAGGATTACGCAAAAACTACAGATTACCAAGAAACTTGATGATCCAGGGATTTCGAATCACTTTCTTTAACCTTTTTTTGATATTTTTGTGGATGTTCTCAGAGAGAAAAGCAGATTTTGACCACATTATCCGACTGATTGACGCATCCTGTCTAAAGCACCTTGATAAGTCAAAGGGTTTGCTGCTCTTCATGAATGAGTCCGGTGATTATCTGAGTGAATCACCATCAGAAATTCCTTCACACTAATTGGTATTGGCATCATCCCAGAAAGATCCATATCAGTCAGGTTCTATATTACACAGCTGGAAACAGTCCAACAACAACTGCACTGTTTAGTCTCGTTTGTCTGTTATTCTAACAACAGCTCCAGGCTGGTTTCAAGCTTTTAAAGAAACACAAGTTAGTGATCTGATTTCAATGATTTATTACCCTCACCCTTAAAGAAGCAGCTCATGTGTAAGTATGAAAGTATCAAGAGACGGATGAACTCACTGTTGTTCCAAATGTTTTTGTGTGATTTGTTAAAAATAAGAGAATGATCAAATATGACCAGTCTGATCCTTGATGAAGTTTCAACCTGCTCCACACAGCTGACCTGATTCCCCCCCCCCTCCCTCTTTCAGTCTCTGTCTTCTGTCCTTGGCCGTGTTCTTTTTTGGCGTTGGGCTCTGGCGATTATGTCAAATGCATTATGGATGACACAAAAACTGAAACACCCCGAAACGGTCTGAAGTGGAGTCGCCCAGCCGCACAATCCCCCAGCGTTTGAGATGAAAAGGCACAAGGAGAATATGAATACTCCTCCTCTCCCCTCCCGCCCCTATCCTCCGGATCAGCCACAAATCAGTCATTAAAATTTATGCCACCTCTGGATGAGGAAGGACAGAGAAGGAAAAAAAAAAAAAAGAGGCAGACAGTGAAAAGAAATGATGTGAGAGAGGAGACGCTGAGAAAGGAGGAGGAGGAGGTCCCGGTAGGTTGATGAGTATTGAGCTGCTTCATCTTTAACTCTGATCAGGCTCCTTCTGCCGCTGCCTGATTCTCATCACTCCATCCTTCTCTTTATCGTCCTCCTTCCCTTTCTCCTCTTTCACCAGCTCTTCCCCAGCTCCGCTCAGTGACACATATAAACACACGTATAAATAAAACTTATCACTCCAGGCAGGTTTCAAATCTCACAGCCTGAGGAGAACGTTTCTTTCCTTCAATAGAAAAAACTAAATTAAATACAGATGTTCAGCACTTTCACTCTGCCCTTCCTCTTGTTTTCTCCTTCCTTTGCCCTTCGCTTCATTGGTTTTCCCTTCACGCTTTCCTTCTTTTTTTCCATGTTTCTCCTCCTCTCTCTGAGTTCTCAACTTCTTCCTCATCCCTTTATTCGTCCTACTTTCCTTTGTCTTTCTTCGTCTTCTCGTGTTTCTCTTGTTCTCTCTCTCTCTGGCAGAGGACTCATTTTTTATTTTATTTCTTGGCTGATCTCTCCCAGGTTCTGGTCCATTGGTTTCCAGTGCGGCTCCGTCCCGCACGCTAAACACGGACTCATAAATCAAACCTCTGCGAGCAGCTCGGAGTTCCTCGCCAGCGGGAGGCCACATCGCAACTTCGTCTTTCTCCTGCTTCACCTTCCAGTGACGGCCACTAACTCTGAACCTCCACGTACCTTACCCAAATCTTCATTACACCCTTAACTCAAATCATAAAATCCACTCCCTGAAACTCTCAGCTAAATTAAAAGCATCTTTCCCATGTTGCTTGCCAACTTTCATGCTTTATTACACACCGATATTTAATAAGGAAACATATTTCCAATGAAAACCTCATTATTTTTATTACCTTAAAAGCAGTGCATCTTTAATAGTTATCTTAGTGTGTACCCGGAAACATAAACAACGTTTTTAACTCATAAAACGCACAAAGTCTGACATCGAATTAAATCGCTCTACGATATTTAACGGCAACAGGAAGTAGATCAGATTAAACTCAATTCATCCCAAACATTTCAGAAAAGTATCAGAGAACATTTCACACGATGTCTGCGTCTACAACAGGAACCACGACACCTTCCAACAGGTAGAAAATCAATCCACAAGATAAACTGTATGAACGAGTAAAATGTTGACGTCTGTTTTGATACAGATGAGAAAAGTTAGACGAGCTGTTTCCATCTATTTACAGTGTTTATGCCGACCAGCACCTCTACAGCTCATTCATCAACATGTGGCCCCAGAGATTATTTAATCCGCACGAGATCAGAAGTGTAAAAACTACACGTCGTGGTTTTATAGGAGGATTATGTGCATGATTATTTCTTGGCCGGACACGGAGGCTTCATGGAGACTCGTCTTCACCATGAGCTTGCCAGACAAAACCAGCTGCTTCCAGTCTTTCTACTCTGATAAGTAAACCAGCTGCTGGAAACAGCTGGATTTCTGGCATCACTGTGCCTGAGCGAGAAACTGGCTTATTTCCTAAAATATGGAGAAACCTAAAAAAAAAAAAGAATATGAGGGCAAACAGACACATGCATCTAAAAAAAGAAAAGAAAAATTCCATTAGCCTCCGTGTGTGTGAGGGCAGCGAGTGACACGTCCGACCGGCCGAGCAAAGGATATGTTATAATTCCAGGTCTGCACATTTCAGGCCTTAAAATAATCTGTGGGAAGCCAGTCGTCACAGGAAGTGATGCTCCCTGTGTGTGTGTCTGTGTGTGTGTGTCTGTGTGTCTGTGCGTGTGTGTGTGTGTGTGTGAGAGAGGTAACACACACACACAAGTTTACAACCAGTGTACACAGAGATAAAGGAACAGTGATTTAGCAGCAGGTTGTACATCAGCCACATGGGGACACACAAAGTCCTTGACTGCCAGGAGGCAAAAAGGGAAAGAAAATAGTTCCTTTAACTGCCTTTACACCTCCCTCCTCCTCCTCCTCCTCCTCCTCCCTTTACTACATCCATCTATCTGTCTCCCTCTTCATGCATCCATCTGTCCGTCCAACCACCCATCCATCTTTCTTACTTTGCCAGACGGTGCAGTTCGCCGCGTGCAGCCGAACATCACTTCTGATTTTATGAGACAAACTCAGAGCGAGGGTGAAAAACGATGATGTGGAGAAAGATGACGAGAAACTGTCTGATGATCGGTCCGACAGAAAATATATCGTGTTTTATCTACTGTACAATAGCAGCTGTGATGCCCTCTAAGAATAAAAACAAGTCTTATCTCGCGTTTTCTTTTCTGTGCATTAACCAGGAGACAGTCGGAGAATGTTCCCCGTGTTCCCCTGTGGTCCTGCTCCGTTTCCTCCGTGTCCATGAGCTTTGAGAAGACGAGCTCATATAAGGATGAAATAAAAGAGATTATCTCCAAAGAAAACGTCTTCCTGTTTTAATCATATTTTAATCACTTTGACATGATGGACAAAGGTTTAAAGTCTCAGATGGGAACAGCGGTGTTTTATTAAAAAACTCCAGTCAGATATTCATCATGTTGACGTCGCCCACTTGTCTAATTGGAGGTAAGTTATTGATAATCATGAGTGCGAGACCTCGGCAGCTCACGCGGGTTCAGCAGATGTGAACAACTCACACGAGGAGCAGGAGCGGATATGAAAACCATTGCTCCTGCTCGGCTCCACGTTATTAACCGAGGTGGAAATCTGTCCTCTGTGAATGTGAGTTAGAGAACTAATAATGTCTTTATATGGCTGCGTCCACCCGTGTGCCATCAGACTGACCAAACAACACACAGCCCCATCTCACTAATTACAACAACTTCGTCCGGGGAAGAATTAAAAGCTGAAACCTGCTGCTGGAGGGTTTGATTAGAGAGCAGATCTGCACACGCTGGTCCCCTGGTGGTTTGTGATTGGAGACCTCAGAGTTAGAGGAGAGATCCACCATGAATCAGGTTAAGTGGAACATTGCTGCTGCATCATTAATAAAGTTCAAAGAATATTATACTTCTGGGCACGGGTGTTTTTCTACGAGCTGTCAAAGCAAAAATGCAACCGGAGGAGAAACATCAAGACCATCTTTAAAAACAGAGAAGACGTTTCTGCTGATTAAAACGAGAATGAAAACCCTCAACGTTCAGGTTTCTCCTTAAAAGAGTTCTAAAGTTAAAAGAAATCCCCTTATTCAACTTCGTTTGACAGTTGATCTCACTCGCATTATGATTTATTTATTTTGTTTTGTTTTGATTTTAAGACTATTCCCAAAAACTGGAACAGTTGGTGTCTCGGCAAGAAATTAAATGTAAATTTAAATCAATTAAAATTTTTGTTGGTAGGTTTTAAGGTCACAGCTAATTAAATCACCTCTTTTACTGATTTCTTCGATGTCCCGTGTGTATAAACTTTTGGTTCATGTATTAAAAAGTTGCGCTCAGCAGCTGAAGCTTCTCTATCTTTGTTGACTTAATGCAAACGTGTGTTTATCCAGATACATGAAGATCTTGTAGAAAAAGAAAAAGCTTTTCTAAATGCAGTGAAGCCATGAGCAGAATCCACTTTAACAAGTCAAACACTTGTGTTGTGATGTTTGTTCTTGAAATGATTCCCCGTACACACACTCTGTGTGTGTGAGAGAGAGACAAGACTTACTTTAATCCAGGTGAGACGGTGGCACAGCTGCCTGACTTCAGCCAAATGCAGTACGGGTCCCGTGAAGACAGACAGCTCCTGCAAGACACACACACACACACAGATGGTCAGTGATGGAGGGAGGTGCACAGGGAAACGTGTTTGAGAACCAGCAGATGTTAGTTAGGTAACGAGGCACTGCATCGCCCCTGGCCTCACAACACCCATCACTTTCCTCAACTGCTGCAACACAGAGCAAAGAAGTGAGCTCATGTTTGTCCCGGTGTGACCCGTGAGGCAGATCCTGTTTCCAGACGCAGAAAAATGTCCAGAAAATGAGCTGCAGACAGCAGCAGGGGGCAAGATGTGATGTGTTAATTCTGCTGCAGGAAGATCAGTGTTTTTGTTCATAGCAAAAGCTCTGGAATCTCGTTATCTTTCCAAGTTGACGTCAAACATCATCAACACGCCCACTCGCTCGCTGTGTATTCTCACGTGGACTCACTCTGACGTAACATCTTCCGCGACTGTCGGACATTTGCAGAGTCACAGAAAACCTCAATGGGAAATTTCCGTATCAGAGAAATTCAGAAAGAAAAACACGCAGGTGCGTAAAATGAAGCCGAACAAGCCGCGTTAAACGTAAACAGTTGAACAAACAGTTTGTGTGTAAAGCAACAAAACAAAAGCAGCGTTATAATAAAATAAGTAAATATTTAAGTCCCGACTTCACGTTTTCAAAATTCATGGTTTCGCTTCAACGTGCTTCTCATTCACACAGATGTGTTGTGTTTGAACACAGTTTAGTTGAATCTTTTCATGGCTACAAAAGGAACATGATTGTTAAAGTGGAGCTTCTTTGTATGAATAAAATATGTAATTAGCTCAGTCACAAACACTGACTAACAAGTATCCCGACCGCAATCTGCTGCACGGAAACAAACTCAGGCAATTATGAGAAGAGACACGGGAAAGATCACAACCAGATTAGTTTCTGATGAGAGTTAAAGGACAGAGGATCTGTTTGTTTTCTTTCCTAACTGAGGGAATTAAAGACCACAGCTTGTTTTTATTCTCTTCTGCTTCTCTGAAAGATCCAATAAAGATTTCACCCACATACATCATGAGCATTTACAGAAAAACCGTGTGGATGCATCGTCTCGACTCAAACATGATTGAAAACCAAAGGCCTGATTTTCTTTTGTGATTAAAACACTGAGTGATGGAAACAGGCTTTCGAAGGCAGCGAGGAAATAATGAAAGTAAAAAAAACAAAAAAACAACTAATTTTCATCTTTTTAATTGAGTAAATTAAATTTCTAATCACTTCATCTTCGTTTGAAAATATTGATATATCCTGGTCCCAGAAAAATAATCAAACAAACCAGATGATTTCAGAACTTCCGAGAGAGTCACAAGTGAGGGAATCTTCTCCCGGGACAATAGATGTGTAACAGAGCACATCAACACTGGGTGTTCTCCAATTCTACCAGCCAACGTCCTGTTCACTCCAACCTGCACAGCGCCCCCTGCAGTCTACAGGGACGTTCAAGCTACAACATTTTTACTTTGTTAAATTGCTCTTTCCTAACTAAGCATTTCCCAGACACAATTCGTCTGAGCTTCTCTTTGGCTGAGATGCAGGTCGATGTTGAATTATCCAAGAAAAGAACTTGCTGAATATTTGCTGGACAGAAAAACTCTTGACTTCAGTTCTGTCTGGCTCTCCTGTTTATATTTGGCCTGTTCCTTTAAGTGGAGTTCACTGCAGGTCATTCACTCCTCATCAGCTTCACTTCAGTCGTCCTCATTAAACATGCGAGGCCTCATTCGGAGAAAAAAACCCAGCTGATTTCGCCGGCGGTCTCATGTCGGCAGTCAGCAGACAAGTGGATCACCTGCTTCGTCTTACTGTACGTCTGTTGTGTGATTTAGTGGAGATTGTTTGCTTCCTCTCCTTCAGGCCGTCAGCATTAACCAGCATCAATAGCCATCAGTCACATTCTCCACAGTGTAAATTCCCAGCAGCATCAGAACATGGTGGCGTCTCCTCCTCTCCGAGCCACGTGTCACTTCTGTTGATTAAACCCTTCTGCTGATCTGCTGTCAGTCCCTCTGCCTCATGTTTCATTTAAGTCTGTAGTTTTTAATCCTGCACTGAGGAACGAGTCTCACGATCCTCTCGGCCTTCGTTCTGCCGCTGTGTAATTGCAAAACAACACCGGGCGTCAATGAGGGAATTGACAGTATTTTCTCTATGCTGCAGAACGTATAGCTCTCGCGATCGCACCCAGCAGCGGCGAGTTAATGAGCGTAAAGCACACGGGGACAAAAGAAACGACAACAAACAATAATATTTATGTCTGCAGTCGCATTGGAGATGTTTTTAGCTGGTTGTGCTGAAAAACGCCATCAGAGATGAAAGTAAATACACGAAACGAAAACGCCATCAGCTCGCTGGTGGTGGTGCTGGGTGCGCCGTCCCGATGTCAAACCTGAACCTTTACCGGCAGTCAAAGAGCAAGTTTTAATGAGAACCCCTGTGACCTGTTTTTAAAATCCAAAAATGACTTACAACAGTCTAAACTTAACGTGCAGGTGCCTCAGTCTGCAAACACGACAGAGAAATCCACAGAGAGCAGCGTGTCACTCCAGCAGGATGAGGTAATGCACGACAGAAACCGTTTCCTGTCTGATGCCTGCAGCTCAGAGCTGAGTGTCAATTTAAATATGAGTCGAAGTTCTGCGCACAGACATGTACGCGAGGTTCGATTCTGAGAAAAACAAAACAACACACAGCAGCAAACAACTTGATGACTCCAAAGATTTAAATAATCCAGACTAACTCACGACTTTGAATAACAAGCGGCTGCAAACATGACGAATGTTCATCAGCACTGCTGCCGGTAGACACCACCCATAGAATATCTCACTCAGGTCTTCAGCTTTAATTAAACCGTAAAATAATAATTTACTATCTGTGCAATATCAATATTATATATATATATTCTGTTTACATTATACATATTCCTATTTTTCCAAATTTCTGTATGTTTTTATTGTATTTTTACCGATTTATTATCTTTATTATTACCCAGAGTGCGTATTTCACTGTTCCCTTCATTAGTTCCCATAGTGGGACAAATAAATCCCAATTATTATCTCATGAAACACTGTCACATCTCATATGGACTCTTCCTGACACGACAGCACTGACCACAGGAAACGGGATCATGGGAAAATGATCCGAGGCTCCACTGTGTGTCACGTTCTTACAAACATTTGATGCTGTTGTTTTTTCCAGGAATTCTTCATGATGATGCTAATGCACTGCAGTTCATCCACATTTACTGAAGCTCATGAAGCTTATTCAGCTTCTCTTCAACTCTGTGTCTCATAAAATATCCCATGAGGTCTTTAGGTCTGATTCAGGGAAGAGTTTCTTCCTGGTAAACGAAAGTTTCTCCTCCAATTACATGGTTTTCAATAGTGCTGTTGACTGGCTGGCTTCATGATTCCAGAGGGGCGGTGCTCTGCAGAACAACGTGCACATTCACAACACAGATCACGTGTGCATCAGAGACACAAACTCAAACTAACACTAAAGCTAAAGCCACGTTAAGTTTCTCAGCTACACATCGGCTGTAGTTAAAATATGTTAGATCTCAGAAAAATCAAAAATACAATCACAATTTTAAATAAAGTGGGAAAAAACACCCTTGATATACCCTCTAATGCAGAGCTGTAATTCAGTGGCTTCTTCCCTGACCCACATCACAACCTTCCCCCAAGTTTCTTGGGAATCCATCCAGTAGTTTTTGTGTAATTCTGCACCACAAACTAGAATGGCACTTTTATTAGGGTCTGAGCCAAATTGCACACACTCATAAACATCGGTTCCCTAAATATGCCGGACTTTCATCAAAATCCATGATTTGTTTTTTAAGGAAAAAGCTGAAAAGGATCTGCCTCCAGATTCGGATCCGCTTAAAACCTCAAACCACATCCTTTCACTAAGTTCTGTGGGAATCCGTTTAGTAGTTTCTGTGTAATCCACGCAAATAATTTCACAAACCATCAGACACACGTAGCAAAAGCTTCAAAAACTCAATTTAAAAAATTAGAAATCATGAGCTTCACTTAGCTTCAACTGCAGAAATCAATGCCCGCTGTCGTGTTTCACCTCCTCTGAACCCAAAACATATGCAGGAAGTGGAAAATCCTAACTTCAGAGTGAACTATAAACTTTTATTCATCATCAAAAACAACTTTCAGTCCCCCTAAAAAATCCCGACCGGTTATTTTTTCCTTTGCTCTGTCAAAGCATCACAGACTGAGCACCGCTGGGTGTCGAGGTCTTAAAGTGACTCTGGCCCGTGTGTGTGGTTACCAATATGTGACAGTGAATCGAGCGGCTATAATAAATGATTCATGCCCGAGCCACAAGGTGTATATGAATCCTTCTCCCCCACTGTGCCTCCCTTCTTCTCTCCCTTCAGTGATATGACAGGGATGAACCTCTGAACCACTGCAGCAATGGGGAAACAGGCCAGATGTTTCCAGCCGTGGAGCTCAGCACGAAACGGCGAGCAAAGTCGTTCCTTCTTTGCGTGACGTCTCGTCTCGTACGTGAGGCTTATATATACACGACATGTGTTGGTGTGCGTCCCTCGTCGCTCTTTAAAACCTCAGACTTCTCTTTCGTCTCGTATGCTGTCATGCTATGATGAACTCAGAGGTGCGTATGTTCGCCTGCAGCCACTCTGTGTAAGGAACATCCATTAGCTGCGGAGGGGAGGCAGGATTTATCCAGCTTCTGAGGCCGGGACTCATAACTTCCAGCTGTCATTTAGCCGACATCCAGGGAATAACACAACGCAGACCTACTGGAGCTGGTTCCATCTCGAAATACTCGATCTGATAATGAATAACTCAAGTGAACAAAGCTATTTATGATACGACATGTTCGTTAGAGGAGATCATGAGATGGGATGACGCATAAGAACAAAGAGAAATCCAAGAAAACTCCAAGATACTATAATTAACATTCTTTTTTATTTTGATAATATGGTCAAATTAAACAAACTCGGATGCATTTCAGCCTTTTTGTTTTTGTGTGCTTTCTCTCAGACGAGGTCACTATGTTCCCATCAGCTGGAGTTTTGTTTACATCCTCTCTAGACCACATAGAAAAACATCTCAGTGACAAGGTCTATGTGTTCTATAGCAAATCTGCGAAATGAGTTTGGTTTCACATGAACATGAAATAATAATAATAATAAATAAATAATAACATTTTAGTGCCTTTTGAACATTTTATAAACTTTGTTGAAGCTGCTGAGTAACTAATTATTGCTTTAACTGTAGATTTATATTATGTTACATATGTTTTTAGAGTTTTTTTCAGTTCTTCAGTTCTAACATGTACAGCAACGTGTAACTGTGTTCTGTATAAAGTTTATGATTATTATCAATATTATTATTGTAATAAAGCTTTTAAGTTTTATCAGTGATGTTTTTCCAGAGAATGAAACGTGGCATATAAACTGACAAGAGTCCCATGAGAAGGATTATTCCAGTTTATTATGACTCGGATCAGATTTTGTTGGCCATCATTACTACTGGTAATTATAATATTGCACGAAGCAGTTAATTGCTGACATGTGAACGTGTGGTGACATCTCGTCTGACGAGGCCAGAAGAACGAGCAGTCAGGCGATCAGAGCGGATTCAGTCGTATTATTAGTAAAAAAATAAAGGTGAAAAGTCAAGTCATGACGTGAAGTGTTCTGTAAACATCACAGTTTACACAACGACGTCCAGCTTCTGTTTTTATTACTGACATTTTACCTCCAGATAAGATAAATCGTCCTCAGAAGAAAAACATAGGTGTCGTTTCAACACATGTTCATTTATGGCAAACGTACAGTTGTTTAATTCTCACGAGTCTTTTATTGATAAAGATAAGTTTCTGTTGGTCTGATGCTCCTGTGTTGAGTTGTTTCTATCACTATAACTAACATTGTGGACAAAACCACAAAAAAATAAGATGATAAATTATCCTGTCCCATTCTGTCAACGTCTAAAATCAACAGAGGTTTTTACAGTAGGCGACAGTTAAAATAATATATTCATTTATCTTTGAGCCAGTCACTGAAACGGTTCATAATAAAAACTGGGAGCTGAATATTTCAGGGTTTGGGGGCCTCCTCTGCCCACTCACTGTATTTTTCTTTCATTATTAAACCTCCCATTTCATACAGATCCCAGCCGCTGTTCAAAACATTTTCTGAAACCTAATATTGGCAGCAGGGCCTCGAGTGAAAAAAGAAACCCGACGGTGCAGACCCCAGTGAGACGGAGAAATGAGAAATTCAGAAACAGAGAGAAAATGGAGGCAGAAAATGGAGAGATGGAGTAAATCTCCTAAGGAGGGAGACCGATTCACAGGTAAAGGAGGATATGGCGGCTGAAACCTGACCTCCTGGCTGCTGCTGATGAGGTTTATAAGGCCCCTAATCCCAGGATGAGGTGCGCTGTAGTCTGTACTAAGGATTTGGGGATGTAGCCGGCCCGTAAGCTCAAGTAAGGCAGACCCTCTCCATTTTCTTCCCCTCCTTCTCCCCCTCCTCCTCCTCTCTCTCCTGCAGCTTCGATGGTGGCTCCTGGCCAATCAGCTGGATCCAATTTATGAATGAGTGATTTCGAGAGCTTCTCCAGGCCTTCACAATGAGAGGTTAGCATGCTATGGTGGTATGTGTGTGTGTGTGTGTGTGTGTGTGTGTGTGTGTATTCCCCGGTGGAGCTGAGGAGAAATCCTGACAAAGAGCGAGGGGGTGGTGGTGGTGGGGGGGGGATACGTGGGGCCTGACATTCCTCAGAGCCCCAAAAATAGATTCCGAAGCTGGGGAGCAACTGCGCTGTAGTTGGGGTTAAAACGTCGCCTGGAAAAACAAAAGGCTGAAGGAAAAGAGACGCTTGAAGGCTCCGCTGTGCTCGGCTCATAAAGCTGCTCTGAAGCAACGTCAGCCTCCTGACAGCAGCACTTTACAGCTTTTACACCAGACAATAACAACCATGGCAACTGTGCTCACAGCTCGATAAGCTGATGATCATCATGAAGATTTAACAACTAATAAATGGTTAATAATTGATGAATCTCCTGTTCTCTCTCTCTCTCCCTACTTAAGATTCTCCTGTCGTCATTAAAAAGTTGGAAAATTACCGTCACACTTTCTCTGACTCCCAAGCAACAGCCTCAGTTTCTTTTATTTGTCTGACGCCCAGAATGATTAAATAAAGGATCAACTGTGTTTCCTCAGGAACCTGAAAGCATCTCTTGTCCCATCCGTTAACATAGAGGAGGCATTTATTTCCCTTTATTCTCAGAGTATGGATAAAGCTGATTTATTGACCATGTGACATCAGGTTTTTTAATTCAATTTTCGAACCAGGTACAAGTAGTGATGAATATTTATATATTATACAACTCTGTCCAAGTATAACTTCTATAAGTAAATACATTGGTTTCCAGAAACCAGAAACTGTTCCTCATGTGGTAACAGACTATACGCATTAAACTGCTAATACTTTACGAAAGTATTTGTACAGGTTCACTTTAGCCAAAATGGAAACTATTATAAAAACTATCAGAAGACGCTGAAACTGCTGCTAATTTAGCATAGAACATAGAATCCAGAGCATTCAAACACGAAGCTCCGACTGGAATCAGATCAGAACAAAAATCTTCAGCTGTTTCCCAAACACAATATTTCCTCGGTTGCAGCCACACTGAACTTCCTGCTGCTCAGTTTCTTCCTCATTCTCACTTTCTGGGGGAAACTCCACGAACCAGGCAGATGATCCACTAACACCTGTTATTTGGTGCAGGCGTTTGTCCAAATCTCTCTAACAGCCCCATGAGTGGACACATTTCTTAAATTGCGAGCTGCAGAGGAAATCGATGCCATTTTACTTAGTTCGCTGGCAGAGCTTGTGCCCTTTTATTCCCTCAGCACAAGGAGGAAACCCTGATTTCGCTGAGTGGTCTCATTCTCCAGACTGGTTTCACGACGTTCCGACAACTTAAAAAAAAAAAACTTTTGTCCTGCTTATCTAAATTTTCCAAAGATGCTTTTTTCTGCGGCTAAATCTATATGAACCTATGATTTTAAATGTGACAATGTGATGTTAACGCTTGTTTTTTACTATTAAAGACTGTCACTTCAATTTGTTTCCCTTCATCTATAAATCTGACCAGAAAAAGAAAATTCACAGTGAGTGTGTGTGGCGTGTTGATGACGGGCAACATATACAAAATTGTAGAAGACGTCAACTATGAAAGACGAGGAGATTCCTTCAGATGAGAAACACAAACTCCAGAAAACTCTCCGACCAAAGAGTTGAAAATGGTTTCTCTAGATAAATTAACCCCCCACACTGTACAGGTGACTCACTTCTTGCAGGTGCTGTAGTCGGAGCAGCGGCTGAGCGGCACCCGGATCACGCAGCTGGAAAACGCCACGAACAAGGCGTGATGATCCCGGTCCAGCTCCAGGCCCAGCACCCTCCGGTCCTCCCCCTGCACGTTGCATCTAGGAACAGAGGAGAAACGCCGACCGTCACGATCAGACGTTTCCACTTATTTTCAACTTTTACAAAAAAACTGTGCCTCGACTAGCACCGTCTGAAAATTACACAGAGCTGAGTGTGAACGGAACACCGTGCAGATGTACTCCTCAAGTTGTGCAGTGAGAAAACAAAAGACGACACAGGGAAAAGAAAGGAACCCCCTCTGGCTGTACAGGGTGACGCAAAGTGTTACAATAGACCAAAGAGTGGGTGGGCAGGACAGATCAGAGGAGAAGAAGAAAAGAACAGAGAAAGTAAACGACAAAGAAAGTGAAAAGACAAAAAAGAGAAACGAGGGCGGACAATTAAGGACAAAGACTGAGAGCTTGAAGTAGCTTGTCTCACTTGTTGGGGTTGTAGACGTCGATGTCCTCGAGGAGTTGCGTGCTGAAGGATGCGTTGGCTCCCTCGGTGCTGGCGAGGATCTTCAGCACGTGGCCGTTGTCTGAGCCGAGGAAAACCACCGTGTAGTTTTTGTACGGCCCCGCCGACGTATCCACCGCTATCTGGGTCAACTTGAATCTGCATGAGGAGCAAACAAACACATTGGGAATAATTATAAAGCAAACTAGAGTTTGAGAAATCTGCTCCGTCGACAGACACGTCCTCTAAAGTGAAGCTGACATTTCTATTCACACTGATTTGAGCAGAAGGAGCCGACAATGTCAAATCTGCAGGTTCGTGTCTTTTCATTGTTCGTCAAAGTCGATTTCCCGCAGGAAACAAAACAAACAGTAGGCGAGCTCTGAGCTCATTGTATAAAGCATCAGTCTGCAATCAATCACGCCATCTACCATCCCACCATCCCCTGCATCGTCGCCTACATCCTTTAATCCCTTCATCCCATTAATTCTTCCACCCCTCCATCCATCCATCCACCCACGTCCAATCGATCTGTCCTTCCAGCGACACTCTGCAGCCTCGATGTGACGCACAGCCTTCTTATTATTTTTGTTTCGTGTTTCGGAGGAAGTCCAGAGAGCTGTTGCTTTATTCCAAGCGGCACTCTGCCTCATGTTCATCCTGCACCTCGCACCTGGGAGCTGCCCAGTACCACCACAGTATCACCACAGCTGTTGACTGCTGGCAGCGGAGGATTGAACCAGGCTGAAGGGCACCTTGACTCCAGCGATTGTTGACAGAGGGATCAGCTTTACTTTCTCAGGCCTCACAGAGAACAAACAAACTAATAAGCCCACTTATATTCTTTGGCATCACTCTGTATTGTAGAATCTTTGATGAAAAGGGAACCGGCGCTCCCAGACGGTCCCACGGAGGATAGTGTGTGTTTCCCCGCATGGACTGGACGTGCATGTCCCCGCAAAGCTCCGGCAGTATCGTGTGATGCACTTCTGGTTCGGTTTCATTTATCCAGTCCCTCTCTGGGGAACAGGCGAGGCAGATGTGATGTTTTTGGCGCCAGATGTGAAGTGGCGCATGTTTCCTCGGTATGGAGCCTCTGCAGCGTTTGGTTGGCTGCGAGCCTGGCTCTGCTTAAGGAGGCATGGAAGAGGCTCCTGTACACTGTGTGTGTGTGTGTGTGTGTGTGTGTGT